ATGCTTTTTTTTCCTCTCGCCAATCAATTTAACACCTACACCTCCCCTCTCCTCCTTCATGCTGGCTTTGGCTCATCAGTTTTAAATGGCACAAAGCATTCATGCATTGTTCTTTTGACTCACTCGGAGAACAAGACACGTCTCAGCTGAAGTAACAGCCCTATCACATCTTAATCACCAGTAGGCTGGGTCAGCACAGACAGGGAGTTAAAAACACTGCCGCACGTTACAAAAAGCATCGCAGGGCGTGAGTACTCAATTATATTTCTGGGAATTGGTGCAAACAGGAGGAGGATTTGAAAATACTTTTTTGCCCCTTTTGAATCTTTTGCGCTCGACAGAACTTGCAAGGGAAAAAGCCATCTGGGTCTGACTCTTATCCCTGGCTTCTCCGGTGCCTCGGCGAGCCTGAGCCAGCAAATGTCAGCCGGATAAAGAGCGAGCCTGACAGACAGACACCGGAGTTTTGTCATTCCGTGTGTCATCCCTTTGCTAGCAAGCCCAATCTTTGCTGGTCTCAAAAGCCCAGAGATGATGTGAGGGGGAACATTCTCGGGGTGAACGTCAGGTTGTGTAACTCCTCCAAGCACCAGGATAGCTGAAACGCTGAGGACATGCACTATTTTAATGCCCCTCCGGCCTTTGAGTGCTTTCATTATTGTCTTATGTGCTGTATGACGGGGTCACCATGGAAACACAAAGCACATCAACTATTTCCCCACAAACGAGATGAGGCTCCACAACAAGATGTTCCTTAAGGAGCCGGTGGTCTGTCCAGTATCACAGGATACTAGATGTGACTCGATATTCAGAAAAAAATTCTGAATTATGCAGTTTATCTGCAAACAAAAACAGTTTAGGTCTTATCTTGTCCAGGATATATGTTGGATTAGACAAACAAACAGTGACATTGAGCAAATAAGTGTACTGCGTCACCATTCCAGAGTACCTTTTTATCTAGTTAAAGTAGAAAAAACACAATAAAAACGTAATCATGCTGCTATCTGACGTTTTACTGCCAAACCCCATGAATCAAAATTAGATGTAAAGAGTGAAGGGCATGATAGGAGAGGTAGAGACTGTTAGAAAGAAATACAACTCCCTTGGTCCTCACAAAGGCTGCAGAAATATACCATGCTTAGTAGAAGATGAGTGATGATGAGTGTGAAAATGCAGCTGCAGCTAGCTTGTGACTCATTCTCTTCACATTTCCAAAATTATTTATGAAAACTTGAGTTAATCTCAGATTTTTACTTTAAAGTCACAACTTAGTTTTGCCTGAAAAACTCATAATAATTCATCTGATTTTCTTTTTGTGAATAACGTTACATTGATCCCTTCAGGTACATAATTTCTTAAACAATCTGATCTTTCTAAGAGTCTATCACTGCCCCAATTAAATAAAACTGCCAACCAACAAAACAACAGAGGCAATTATATTGCTTACATTGTTTTATCAGTCCTCTTTCTTTCTTTTTTTTCTATTTTTTTGCTTAAAACTGGTCAAACTCGAGGTGACGTGTGGTCTCAGGCACACACAGGAAACCCAATGAGCATAACAAGGATAAAAGGATTTTTAAAAATCGAATCGTGGTTGCATTTGGCAACTAACTCGCTCCGTAATCAACTAATCTCTGACTTTAAAATAAATCCATATAGCCAAGTACACAACAGGCCAGTTGTGAACGCTCTGTATGCAGTATGATTTAAAACCGTATTTCTGTACATTGGTTAAAGTGAAGGATCACCAATCAATACATCCATGTGGGATGAACGCAGAAAGCCGGTCACAGGGAACGCAGAATGTTGCCGTCTGCACATTTTGTACCCAGATTTCAAGAGCTGTAGTTATCCAGATGCAGTGTCAATAGTAATTGTCAAGTGTTTAAAGCTGATAAAAATACACGGCTGCCTTGAGCTCGCTTAAAGGCTGGTTTTTAAGATGGTTTTTAGTGAGGCAGTCAAAGTGGCACCAACACAGCTGTGTGATTCGCATTCCTTAAATCTGAAGCTTTTGTTCTCCATTGCACTTATTTCTTTATATACATACGAAATTACAACACAGCAAGTTGCCTCACAGAAAACTATTTGACAGACAGACAGACAAGCTCTTGATATAAGCCAAGACTTGGAGCAGCACAAAATGATCCCCTCTTCACTCCGCTCTTTCCCTCTCTTGCCTTTGACCTCCCACTGGTTCCATTAACGGTAGCACCTGAGCAACCTTGAGCGCATCCAACAATGACGGTTACATAACAAAAGATGAGAGTGGAGAAGATGAGAGACGCAGGGGAGGAGGGGAAGGCACCGGGACTGAGGCGGGTCAGGGTGTTAGTCTTAGACAAATAAAGCCACTCTCTCATTGTTACCACCCCGATCGTCACCCTCTCCTCCGAAGCCCCTCTCCATCTTACTGGCTAAAATGAACATGACATGTTACCGGCTTTCTTTCTAGGTGGAAAGTTTTCTCAACCCCTACACTTGTTTCAGCTTGTCATTTTGCATTATATAACTAGAAAGCACTCTGGCCGGGAATAAAAATGTGAGGCGTGTGATGGCAGGTGATGAATGGGGGTAAAAGTACACAGCAGCCCCTGTTTTACTTATCCGTCCACATTTAGCCTCACATGTACAGAAAGCTTTTCTAACAACACCATCATTTTGGACTTTTGGTTTTGTCCGTCATCCTTCACCACCTCAAAATAAGGTCCTGCCCTGCATCCAGTCATATTGGTAAGAATGGAATCCAAAGTATGGCTTGTTTTCCCAAAACACAAGATATAAACTAAATAAAATTCATATTGAGAGTTAAACATAGGTAAATAATGACGTTCAGCCAAAAGAATCTCCAGTGAGCACACTTTTAATCCATAAATTACTCAAGCTGATAAAACTATTATACAACTGAATGAGAACAGAAAAATACTTGTAAGCAGATGAAGCGTTTTCCGAATAGGAAGAATACATATCGATTCCTATTCATCCATTTTTTATTTTTTCAGAGAGAGAGTAGGGCAGGAAAGCAGTACCAGAGGCCCAGCCCATGACAAAACAAAGAGATTAAATGACCTGTGAATGTGACTTTCCATTTTTCCATTGGAACATACTCAGCTCAGAGGCTTGCTGCCCCCTTCTGGAGGCCGATGAGACGCCGAAAGAAAGATGCACTTCAATGTCTGTCTATTTTCTCACGTGTGTGTCCAACAGCAGCCTTCCTGTTTGTTCTAAATCTGTAACAGCTAGTTACAATTATCCCTGACCCGCAGAACTAACAAGCTGCTGGTGTGACAAAAGCAATAAAATGCCTCTATCGTACCACCATCTCTCACCTCATAAATACTTTGCACAATTCCCCACGCTTTTACTTCCTGCCTTTCAGATAAAATACATCTAAAAATCTGCCGTGTTGACAGAATGCAAAAAAAAAAAAAACAGACTGCAAACGTGTCAGACCCCCTTTGAGGTGAGATTTCAGAGCTGGCAAGGGCCAAATGTCGACCAGCTCCAACAGATGGTGTGAGGAGCTGGGCTGAGAGGCTGACCTTGGTCTGCGGTGAGGAGGGGGTGGGAGGGCGAGGCGAGGAGCCCGGCGTCTGCGAACCAGAGGATGTTGATGTGAACATCAAGGGAGGTTTGTCGCCCGAGATGGGAGGGTAAAGTCGTGTCAGGCCTGTTTGCTTTGCAGGTGCTTTGAGACTCTGAGGGATGCTGTCATGCTGTCATGATGACAGAAGAATGTCAGAGGCGGATAAACAGCTTAGAGGGAGGAGGTTTTCATGACTGAGATGCAGCTCAAAACACGCTTCTTCTTGTGCTTAGTTTGAAATGTTTTCCCCTTATTATTTATTTCCTAATTTTTTAACAAATTGTTACCAATTGCCCCCTATCGAAAAACATTATCATAATTAAAATGATTGTCCATAAAACTGTGGCGATTCCCAGAATCAAAAAGCTAAAAGCACTTGTTGATATTAGCTGATGGATCGATAATTGATAAAGCTAAAATTTTATGCATTTTATATATTTTTCATTATCCATGCAACAGGAGTGCAATTCGTCCTTTTCTTGATCGACTCGTGTTATTTTATCTGTCCCACGTGTGAAACAGTGCGACATGTGAGCCACCCTTCCTGCTATTTAAATGACCTAAAGGAATTAAACCATACAGATGTCCAAAAGATACAGATATTGGGTCACAGGACCTTTTTTCACTTGTGTTCTGTTTTACTGGAAAAGATATTCCTGAAATGTGGCCATGTGTCCCAGCAGATATCATGACCTAAAAAAAATTGTATTTAACCCAACTGGGAATTACAAAAATACCTAGACGAAACAATTAAGAAATTTCCTTTTCAGCCCTTTTAATTCAACTGAATAATTTATGAGAAAAGTGTTCAGACTTTTCAACGGAGTGCGTGTCACTTTAACATCTAGTATTTGTGACTATTTACCATTAAATTGATGCATCTGTTACTACAATAAAGGAACCCCTTTTCTTTTTGGGAAAAAAGGAAGGTTGTAACATAAAAGTCTGCACGGGGTCTGATTTATGCAGTATTTGGTGTACTTGTTCTGTCCTGTCCCATCCAGAAATTCTGAAGGTACTTACTGAGGCCAAAGAGATCCATATAATGAGATCTTTAAGGTTGTGTTTTTTCCACTGAGTCCATGCACCACTGCCTCCTAGATCTACCAAGGCAGCTAGGCTGTCGTTTTTTCTGCCTTTTTAACAACTAAAGTAAGTTCCTCCAATATATAAGAACCCCTAGAGTATGGTCAATAATGCTAAAAGTTTAAGACAAAGATTTCCATACCCACCAACAAGCAGTTAAGTACAAACTTCAATCTTGCCTACACCTACAGCATTTTTCTTTTCCATCCAGACACATGTTCACTCAAAAAAGTAAAATCCCCTGAACTTCTTCTCCTTATCTCACCCAAAAGGTGCATGAACAGCACAGGCAGTTTTTTTAGCTGTTTTCCTTTCTTTTCTTTTTTTTTTATAAATCGAGGGATTTCCACTTCCTCTGCTCAAAAGAAAAAAAAAGAAAAAACATGCGATTTTTCAAGTCTCTCCGTTTCTGGTAGACTGAGTACAGGGCTTTAAAGGAAAGCGAGCTGGCAGAAAGTGGATAAGCGAAACTCACCTCTGCACATATGTGTATTTCACAAGTGAAACCAATTTCCTGACGTTCTCTTCACAAGCGCATTGCTGCAGTCCAAGCTTGGTCACACATTGGTGGTTCTGAGAATCTATCGTCAGATAGTTAATGACAACAATGCATGGGGCTTACAAAAGGTTCGTTTTGTGCAAAACTTTCTCCGAGTACTGAAATGATATCCTCCTTCCATCACCCCGTCTTCCTCTTCCCTTCCTCTCCTGTATCAATGATTACCTAAATAGGAGTGAAGCCACATTTACAGTGGTTTCGACAGGAATGAAAGCCGATAAGATAATGACGGAACACTGAGCCACTTCAGAGTAACCCTTTCCCCCTTCTGAGCACACTTGCTTCCTTTGATCATCAAATTGTTCTCCTGGAAATCCTCTTGGTTCTTGAATTATCTGGGCCGCTGAAGTGGAAACTGAATTTTCTGAGGCCAAAGCTTCTTAAGAGAAAAGGGAAAGATGTGGAGAAACTAATAAAAAGATGTGAAAATGAAATAAATTGAATAAGAGAAGAGACACAACTGAGTGCTGATAAGTCTTTCTTCTCCTTCAGCTCACAAACACAAAAGAGAATATACTGCATACAGAGCTCATTCCACTGTTTGCTCTCAGTATTTCTGGAGCATGCATTGGCAGTACAGTAACATCAATGTTATTACAGACTTGTACAGCCTCTAAATGATGCCTTCAGACCTAGAAGCATTTGATGTTGTATTCTTTTGAAAGAACATTTCCTCTACAACAATCTTTCCCTCAGTTTCTGCTTATTTTTCAGCATTCAAGATGTTTTAACTGCTCTGCAGTGCAAGAGGGGAATTTTTTTGTTCTTCGCACTGATAAGTAAATCTTACTTCTTAATTATCTGACTTAATGATACTTAGATCTCCAAAATAAAAGCATGAGCATGTTTGAATGCAGCTTTTACAAAGAGTTACAAATTAGTAAATCGGTGAAGATCCCAAAGTTTAAAAAAAAAATAAAAAAACAGATATTGAAGATTTCTCACATGTACTTGAGCCTTGAACCCTTTGCTCCATCCATATTATTTTGAGTTATTTAATTCAAGTGAAACACAAGTGGGAAACCTAATGAAAATACTACTTTATTACCAAGGTTGTTAATCTGAAATAATAATAACAAGAGGGATATGAACAATCACAATAGGGAAACCAAATGGCTGTATCATTGAGATTTATTACAATCCAGTTACGAATTCCAATTAGTGTGGCTGCATGGACCATTCCTTAAATTGATGCAAGAGAGTCATAATGTGATTGGTCAGATGGAGAATCATTATAAATGTTCCAGTCGTAAATAACCGAGAGACGAATAAGCTCCATTCAGTTCAGAAAGGGCAGCCCAGTGTATCCCCCACTAAAGCACCTGAAGCCCTTTCTTTCTTTAACTTGTTTTCATCACGGATGAGATACTGAGATGTTTCAAGATCATTTCCCTCACCTACAAACCCTGATCCACAGAGAAAAGACCCTTCAAACGTGTCCTAGTTTTGCACACTCAGAATAATTGTCCTCGTAACTCACAATGCCTAAAGACTAAGGTTTTGACATGTCACTAAAACTGTAAGTAAACAAATGATTTTGAAAAAAACAACAGACAGCCAGTGTCCACTCTCCATGGCTCAGATACTCAAAGGGTAGACCGCAGTAACTTAGATTACAATAAATAGAGCACATTTGCAGCCTTCCAAAGAGTGTATGAATGTTTCTATTCAAACCAAGAAAAGTATATTTATGAAGAGGCATCCGATACTTGCCCACTCGCTTTATAAGATGAGGAAAATTCCATGACCTCTGAGAAAGATGCTTCACACTATTCCACCAGTATTTCTTCAAATATACAATAACCGTTTGCTGCTGTATGGAGATAGGAAATCTTGTATATTGCCCATATAAGTACAAACTTATAGAGGTAACTTTTCATCAGCTCCTATAATCAAGCAACTCTTTTCGATTAAAGTTGCAACAGAGTGCGGGTTATCATTTCCAATGGAAACTGCCAGTTAACCACTGGCAAAGGCATTTCATTTCATTCACACATCAACACATCATTAGGGTTTGTTGTGGTTGCAGTTAAGTATGCATTTTTCTATTCATGAAGGTTTGTACTGATTCACCCTCTTCAGATGCAGCTGAATTGATTAAGAAAGTCTCCCCATTAACCACCAGATTTAAGAAATGAACACTGATTTTGCCATTCATGAGCCTTTCATGTGGGCTCCAGCTTTGAAGCCGCTTGCTTTCTTTAGCTACTAATAAGTTAAGCTCCAAACAATTTACTATGGCTAACTTAAGTAAGCCAGTGCTGGAGTGGAGAGCAGACCAATCTGGTTTTTAAAAATCTGTAAACATGTTGACGTCCAACTCATAAAATCCACTATTCCTGTCCTGTTCTGCGAGAAATCAATCAAAATTTGTGCCAATATAGGAAAGGGAAGGATCAGGCAATCTGAGTTTTAACCATCTTATTTACAGCCGATAAGTTCAGTCTGGTTAGAGGGAGGCTCAAACAAGCCTAAAATGAAACAGACAGCTCGTCCTCACAGTTAGGAAACTGTGTGTCCTATTCAGAATTCAAATGAGTGTGGGATGAACCTACTTGTAAAAATAAGAGGCATCACTGAGCCTAGGCAGGCAGACAATTTACCGAAACAAGATACGAACATCTTGGCATGCAATAAGCAGCTTGTAATTCTGAATCCCTCCAACACACTGCCCTGGTGAGATAAACACAAATTTCTACCACCCCTTTTTACCTGCCCTGCGAGGCTGCGGGATTCTCACAAGATCACAATCACAAGATGCTGCATTGGTTTATTGGATGACACGTTGCAATCGGAGCCATGGGCGGCCTTATTGGCAGTTGCGCGCATTTTAGAGGCCCAACAATTGTCCTCAATTCTCGCGCCTAAAGAAAACTAGTTCCGCCTGCAACCACTCTGATATGGTAACTTCTGGTAAAAAAAATACTAATAATTTGCTACTATCCCCATGAACCATGCACGCAGGCCCTCGTAAACAGGAGACTGATTCCCATGTTATTGATTAGAACAGAGAAGAAGAAGAGGAATGGCAAGAAGTAAGAGCAGATATTCTGCTGCTTGGAATGAAATGATGGTTGGAACTGACTGAAAGTGACAGATTGAGATTCAATACAAAGTGCAAACATAAACAAACCAGAAGCTCCATCATTTGCCAAAGGAAGTCATGGAGCTGTACCCAAATAAGAAGGATACAGTAGGTCGAGCCACAGATTAAATGTTCTGGCGGAGTATTTCCCAAAAGTTTCTGGTATTTCATCATCACCTCTATCAGTGGATGGCATGAATGTAGCAAAGGTGTAGGGGCAGTTTAGAAATAAACCACTCTTCTGAGAATGATTCACCAGAACCATTTACACCAGAGTTGCATTTTACAGATTTTTTAAAGATTTTTCTCACAACTAATGTCAGCTGAAGGTTTCTTTACAAATCGCCTTTTGTTCCGTTTAACTATTCCCACGCGTTTTCATATTTTAGGACTCTTAAACATCGAACCAGCTCAACTTTTCATTTCATTAAGTGGAAAGTGATTCAACGGCTGATCATAATTCAGAGATGATGAGCGCTCACCACTCAACAACCAAAAGTCTCCTTTAAGCAAACGTAAATCCAACTCATGCCTGCAAATCAGAGGAGGGCCAAAAAAGCATTTCAAAGGACTTTGGGCTTGTAGATCTCGAATGTCTGAAAAGTAATTAAGAAATGGCTGTTAAGGAGTATAAACGAATAATTACAACAAAGCCGGTAAGTCAGGTATGACCAAATATTTCTAATGGTCTTTGCAGTGGTTTGCACGGTGAAATCTGCACCACAGAGTCAACATGAAAGAGTCATCAAAAGGAAATCCAACCTGGAAAATTGTAGTATCTTCTTCATGAATTAACAACTTACCAGTGCTTCATCCTCGGAGAGAACTCGCTGCTCATCGTGGATGAGGACCACTTTAGCCTTGATTTCGTTGACCGATATACTGTGGGGGGTACAAAGTAAGCATATTGGTATTCCTCACAGCTTTTTGGTGAATATTACAGGCTGATCTTTTCAGGATGTGCTGAGCCTATCAAGGTCATCACCAGTTCGTACGGTATGTTTCTTCATCAGAGAATTTCAGCCTAACGTGCTGGGGGCTAGAAACTAAAATTTTCATTAAAAAGAATGGAGATAAAATAAATCAAATACATAGCATACTTTTTTAACAAAGCAGCATGATTTGAGGTTAATTATCTATTATTTATGGACTCCTGTCCAAATAGGTAACTGTGTATATATATATATATATATATATATATATATGACGGCGTAATAAAATAAAAATAAGTTCAACTGGCACATGCAGATCATTTTAAATAAAACACAGGCTACTTTGTCTCTTACAACACTTACATTCCGCCTTCAGTCTCATTTCTACGCCAGTGTCTTCATTGAAAAGGTTACAACTAAACTACCACTACTGAGCTGAGATAATGACTGCACCGCCCGAATCAATCCCAGGAGTCCATCAAAAGCGGAAGTGCAGGCAAACATACAAAGCGAATAGCTTGTTCCACTACAGAGGATCAATGCTAGGGGTAAGTGCTGGAGAGAAACAATAGCTTTCGCCATTGTGGAGCTGCTCAGAGGCTGCAGAACGACGGCTCTGAAAATGTGGTGTGAAGAAAATTGGCTTTGGCCTCAATCACTGAGGACATTTACACGCATATAAACCACTGCATCATAAGTGCAGGGGTTCTGCAGCACACACATATAGCAGACTTCACTGAGGAATCAAGTGATGAATATTAAGGAACTCGCAGATACACACAGGGATAAATCCTGACAGAGGGGAGTGGATAAAAAGCACAACCTGTTCATAGGCCTTTGGGAGGCTCCATCATGGTTCATTTCCTGAAGCAGTTGGTAGGCTCTATTTATAGGCCAGCATACTGGTACCAGTTAATCCTGCACTGGGCTGCCAACTGCCTGCCAGCTGGCACAGTGGGTTGCACTTGTGTGCTGAGCATAGGAAGGTTTGGGATGAAATAATAAGGGAGACCAAATTTTGCATTAATAACCGCAGTGCAGAGGGATAAAAGGTGGCTTTAACTTACCCTTTAAAAACTACATGCCCGTGGTTTGGCATAAGCAGCCAACTAGGAGGAAAATAATGTTCACACCGCGTACACACACTTAATGAGTGTGTCAAATCAAATTATAATGATAATGATGTTTTAGAGAATTTATGTGGATTGTATTAAATGGTGGAAATTTCTGTAAAGAATCAATTTTTGGTGACTAAATGAACACAAAAATTAGATTAGATCATAATAGAAATTAGGGAATAATTATCTTTAAATGTGCATTAAAGATCATTTGCAATTCCAATGGAGTGAACTTTGAATGGGGTAATGTTTTGATTAGTGTCAATAGGACTAAAGGCAGACAAAGAGCTTTTTTGTTACAACATGAAAACTGCACTGTGCATAATATTAATCCAGAAATCAAATTGCCTGGCAACTGCAAGCGTCAGGTATAATTTTTTACTTTGCACTTATCAGAACAGCAGCTATAATCAAGCTCTGTACTTTAGTCTTGAAAGTTACAAAGCCTTGTAGGCATATATACACACACACACACACACACATATACTGTGTGTATATATATATATACACACACATATGAAGTCTTTGCTTCCTGCTCTATTCAAAGAGACACAGATACATGTCCTACATCAAAATCTCCAGTGGCTGACAGCTTGAGACAGTGACCACAGAAATGCACGTGCTGCAGATATTTCAGCTTAGCACTGTGTTTGTCTCTCATGGAGAGAGTGCTTGGGATGGGTGGATATAGCGGATGGATGGTTTAAGAGCTGCGAAAGGAGGAGACCGGGGGATGTGCATCCAGTGCAGGAATGCATAAACGAGCGTATTGCGCCTATCATCAAGAAGAAACGCTGGACAAGCGTTCTGCCCTTAAAGCAACCATATGTTTCATAGAGCATTCAGTTACACCTATAGCCAGCCCCGTCCTATTGTGATGAAATATGCCTGGTTAGATAAGCAGTATTGATTTCCTCTTTCAAACATGTTGTGGGAAAGTGAGAAATGGGAGGGTGGAGATGACTGTAGCAATGTAAAAACATGAAATGGACACTTAGGCTGCTCTGAGATCACATGCTCTGTTTTTTTTTTGCCAGCGACTAATTTACACATGTAGCTTGGAAGAGAATTGGATGTCGTCTTTTGCGTGGTTGACCAGTCTCCAACTCTGATCATAACTACGAGTTAGCGAACATGGGTGGCAAAACATTAGCCTACTGAGCTTAAAGACTGTATAAGTTCCCCAGTGTGTTGCAGAAAATCATGTGGGAGTTAAACTGATGAGACTTCACAGCTCCTCAGAAGATAGAACTGCAAGTTCTGCAAGAAGTGCAATGCATATCCATATTGAAGTTATTTATAAAGTATTTACATAATTTTATTTCATTTCAAAAGCTATATGAAACAAAGTGGCTAAGTTTTTTTTTCTTTCCATCACCTTTGTCCCACTTTTATTTGGTGTTTTTCCAAATATTGTGGTAAAATTTAAAGTGTCAAGACAGTGAATTTTTTGCCTATTATACAAAGAATATTTACTGAATCAGTAGATGGCCAAAGATTTGTCGCATTTCTTATGTACTTTCTGTGTGAGTGCCAGTGGTTTATTAATGATTTTGAGGACAATAACAAAACTTTAGAGAAAAAAGACTTCATAATTTGTTAGAAAAACAGTACCACTGAAAAATATCTGATACAGTCCACCTCATTTCTCTTTTCCCACTCAGTATTCATGCCCACTGTGGCACATTTCTAAAAAAAGAACAGCAGATGAAAAGCTCAACTGGGAGCAAATGTGCTATAAAAATTACTTTAGTATTGGCTTTCATAGCAATCTAAATAATGTGACAAAAAGCCCTTTCACTCTGGCAAAAGTAGAATCCTACAGGGAAAAGTGTGTCAGTGTAAAAATACCACTGCTGGCCTTCAAACTAACTGAATCAGTGGATTTCTTTTATGTTAAAACTTCTGACTGCACAAGCTAACCCAGGTGTTATCACATCATATTTCTATAGATGTTTTCTCTGAGGTCTGAGTTGGTGTCACAAAATCTAGGTATAAAAAAAGGGGGTTTCAACCTTCACCATCCCCTATGTGACTTACCTCCCATCTCTATTGCTGTCAAGTAACTGGAAAATGCTGGTTGCAGACACATTCTGATGTCTGAGAGCTGGAAGAGAAGAATTATATAATAAATGTGTTATTAACTGAAGAGAAACCAAGCGCTTTTGCAATAAAAAACAAGTCATGATAAAAACAGAGAAGCAATAACTTTCAGAAAACCAGGTGGGATCTGTTCTTGATCACCAATCACTGCTATCATTACCAATCAATTTCAATACAGGATGGAAAAAGATGGTCTTAGAAATGTGAGGAGAGGAGGGAGGAGAGGGCAATCAGGCAATGAGTCAGTCACACTGTGCGAGAACATTTGGTTTCCCTGTAGGAAAAAAAAAAGCATGCCAGAGTCCAGAATGCAATCAGGAGGCTTTGTGCTGTAACGGCTGGTGCGACAGTGATTTCCCTCTTTTCCATTCATATTCACAGGCGGATTAAAAGGAGATGCAAAAACTTCCTCAACCCCCTTTCCAGCGAACATGTGACTCCAACCGATTCATTCTGTGAGTCACATTCATTGGAGTGGGAGGGAGAGGAAGTTCTCTTCTATGCGGCGCGGAGCATCTCCCAAATCATCAACAAGACGGCGAATGTAAAGGGGCAAACTGATTGGCCCCTACGTCTGGGGAAAAGCACTTTACATAATGCTAATTGCACATCCGCTGCAATTACCTTTCCGCACTAATTACAGAAAAGCTAATTGTGAAATTAGCATTTTTTTCAGTGTACAGTACAAAACGCTGTCGGGATGCTTAAAAAAGGGAAAAGATACACATTATTTCTTAAATCCCAGCTCTAGTGAAACAAACTTTAAATCCATATTTATAAAGCCATGCTGTCTTTACAATTAGAAGTTTGGAAATGCAAGATTCTTCATCCCAACTTGACACCCACAACAGGACTCGAAGCTTCAAATGTCATCGGAGAAGCCAGATTATTTACACCCGCTGTTCACTCTACTCAACCACAAGGGAGACAAGAGAAAAAATAAATGAAAAAATTGCAGATATTCTCCTGCAACGCACACAGCATCTGCCATATCAGCAGCCCATTCTTTTGTTTGAATAGCTCTCAATTCCCAACCTAATGCTTGACATTCTCAGCCCATCCTCTTGTTGCCGTCTCACAAAAATGAGTGCACGAGGAGGAAGAGAGATGGTTTCATCCCTCTCTCCGCTGAAAAGCTCTGGCTATGAAAAACAACCATAAGGAGGATAGATGGAGAAGGAAGAAGACGACGAGGGGTGTGGGGGGAGGGGGGTAAAAGGTAAGAGGAAGATGGGAGAGAAAAGAGGAAAATAAAAGAGGAGTAGAAGGGCAGGAGGGGAGAAAGAGAAGAGGCGGCTCACGACAGTGGCTCTTTAGGCCATTGGCACATATAGGGGGCTATGTTTACTAATGGACACCATCAGTCATCCGCCCATGTTGCCCTGGTGATATCAGTGTGTACTCGTAAAATAAGAGAGGCACATAGAGAACAGAGAAAATGGAACATATCAGCAGGAGTCTGCAGATCTGCAGACCATGTTATCTATCCACACGGAGCTTTCCTTTGTTGTTGTGGGCTCGGCACTCCAAGGCAAAGAAAACACAGATTTAGCTGTCTTTAATACACTAGAAGCAATATTTGCAAGAAGAAAATGACATCTTTATATGGGAAAAGGCTTAGAAATGGAAACAGATCAAAAGGGTTCAGGTTTTTGCACTCAGCTTTCAGACGACTAAAGAAAAGGAGACTGCATGAATGCTGAGACACAACCTAAAAATAAGTGTTTCAAACTAAATGACGCATTTAATGTCGAGGGTTTACAGCAGCAGAATGACTCAGAAGACTGTGCATCATATCAGGAAAACAGTCAAATTTTCAGATCTCAAGGGCCAAAACCAATACTTTGACACTCAAATACATGTTTTCAAAAACATGTTTTTTTTCCCCCCATATCCTGCTAAATGTCACTTTAAAATGTCTGGAAATGTTAATGCGCTGCTACTGAAGTGGCTGTGCAGGAGGAGCAGTGTGATGGAACGCTGCACGCTGAACACAACCAGAACATGACTCTGGCTGATCGCTCCGTCTGTCAGCGTCGCTTAGAAAATTAACATTAATTTTTCAAAGAAACATAAAACTACAGTTCCTGCTGTTTGTGAATCAAATAGAATGGCAAATCCCAAAAAAATCCGCAACTGTTTGGGTAAACAGTTTAGGATCGTATCCCTGATCAGACACTCGAGAGCTGGAGGTCCTTTTTCAGCAATGATGATAGATAGATTTTAGTTTCACTTTAAACAAAGAATTGAAAAAACAATCAGAAATTAGTTCAGCCAGATAATCTGCAATTTCACCAGGTGTTTTTTATTGTTTTCATGACACTATCAAAATAGAGGATATAATCACTATATTAAGTCAGTCATTAAAAGCTAATGGTTTAATTATGGATTTGCATCCCTTCACCCCAGTCACATAAGTAGTTAATTTTTTTAATACTTTTCAAACTAATAAAAGCAACTTGAATTCCTCTATTTAAACAGAAAGGATCTTTTGAAGAAATTGCTGCACTGCTGCAGTTAGTGTTCGGAGCGATTAGCCGCTAAGCATCCGGCTGTGGGGCTGTGTGTCAGTGCACATGAGTGGAGGAGAGATGCTTCGCACGATGGTCAGACGACAAAAATCAGGTCAGCTGAGCAACATGAGGAAAGCCCCTCAAACTGTGGGTGGACTCAGTAATTGCACAACTTTGCATTTCAGATGTACCATTAAACAAAGATCCCAATGTAAATACTGTATATCAGACCTCTGAATGAGAGCATTAACGTCAAACAGACATCATTAAAGAAGAGGACCTCAACATGACCCCAAAGCTGATGATGGAGGGCTTACTTCTCATTATCTAGGAGAAACTTAGTAATATCAGTTATTCATTCATGATTTGCGCTTGATTTTTTAATTTTTTTTGCATTGGACGTAAAAAGAAACTATTAAAAAAAAGGAAAACATTTGTGAATTTAGTGTCCAAAATGTGCTCTATGTTATGATAATGATCAAGTGAAACTTTCTAACTGCATCACATGGCCTTTGAAAAAGGAGAAGATCTTGTTTATATTCATTCATTCATTCATTCATTCATTCATTCATTCATTCATTCATTCTCTCCTGTAATGTAAGTACGCATACAGAAAAGGCCAGCCTTTACTTTGCTGTCCTGTCACGTCAGTTGCCCCAAGCTTTCTATATTTCTATTTTTCTTTTCCACTTTACCACAAACATCACTTTACGAGAAACTAATTTTCTTTGCGGGCACAAATAACCTGGTCCTTTTAAACTTCTCAATAACTGTGAGCGAAGCCCTGGAGACACGTCTGAGCGACGGCAGCAGCGAGGGCAGATTCTGTTAGGTTCTACTTTGCAGGCTCAGCTGCTTGTCCCACTGGCTTTTCATTCCTATTTTGGCTCAGGCTATTGAAAGACCATAAAGTGAAAGACAACACATTAATCCGAGAAACTGTGTGTGTTGTGATGTTCCTTTATGTGACCGATAACTCATAGAAAATCACCGTTTGTTCTCGTGGGTACGCTGTAGTTTCTCTTTTTTTTTATTTCATAGGTTTATAATGTAATGTCCAAACAAATTCTATAAGTTCAGGAGACGTTGAGGGGGAATTATCCATTTGCCAAATCACATGAAAACATCAAAGCAAACAACACAAAAAAGCACAATCTCCAATCTCCTTTTTCCTTCGGAAATAAAGTCTAATAATAAAAAACAAACTGGTATTTAAGAGTTTAGCTGACTTAACATGTTTTTACTGGCTGCAACAGGAAAAAAGAAGCCAATAAGAGGGCTTCCCTTCTCTCCCTAAGCAGCCATACCCATGAACACAAACTGTGAACGTCTGCAAAATTTAACAAAAACTTCAGTTTTGTGTCAAACATGAGAGTCTGTGTTAAAGAGTTTATATTAACGTCTTAGTATTTTAACTCTTCAGTCTGAAAATCTTATTTTTAACCCAATTAAATCCTGCCAATCTTCACAGAGTGTGTTCCCCACACATGTGTAATGAGTGTAAATCCCTCAGAGCCCATTTCCTATCCGGCCTCACAAATTTCTGTACATTCAAAAGCACAAGCTACAACATTACTTAAATGCCAAGCCAGCTTGTGCTTGGAGCGATAAGGGAATTTTCCTGTGACTCATATGCAACTTCTCTCCGATGGTTTGAGGAACGTGAAAGCAGAGCGGACGGAAAGCAATGTTCTGCTGCTCAGCAATCCTCCCTTCATTTCAGCAGCAACGCAGTCTGGCTTTAACCCTTAAAGGTCTGCCATTTGTCACCCTGCCCATCAGACCTGAGCTTCTCCGGTTTGTAAAATTTTGCTCAGTTTAAGCATAAATTCAAATTCAATGACAAAATGAAAACTATGTGAACTGTGAAACTTTACTGAATGACGCTCACCACCGTCCTCTGCTTCCGATGCCTTTAATGCTTGCTCTTTGCGACGGTCAGCCTCATTTTTCTTCCATCTGTGTTCCTCTAATTTGACCTGGAGGTCTTCGGCAACCTGCTGGAGCTCTCTGAGCTGGGCCTGAGGACAGACAAGAATGGTTAAGGTCTTGGTTAAATCAGGCCTCCAGACATTCCAAGGTGTGCACGTGGCACAAGCCTTCACAGAGTGTACTTATAGAAAGAGCAATCTAGGTCAAAATGTTGAAATCATCAACTATTGTTAAAGAAGGAAAGTAGAATTATGTGTGGACATAAAAAACAGCAGTCATTAGCATAATTATTTCTGGACCTAAGTAAAATGCTAGGACATGAGATTTTGTAAAGAAATTGACAAAAGATAAACAGATCTGGAAAAGTCACTGTGTTGACTGAGTAGCTAAATGTGAACCATTTCCTCAATAAAATGAATTGATTTTTTCCTTGTCTCCTGGATGCAAAACTTTGGGTGTACTGAGTAAATGTTTGGACTTCCTATATGCATTAATAGCTTTACTTAAAAAACAGAATTTACAAAAACCTTCCAAACAGCATTTGGTTTCACACAAAGAACTCATTAAATCAGCAGCATCCGAAGGTGTTGCTGTCAAACCAAAAATGACAACGTATGACAGCCAAACATGGCCCATCATCACTCTCGGTAATGGACCAATTAATATACAGGAAAAACAGTTTCCTGCTTGTGCATGTGTCCACATGTATATGTGTGTGTGTGTCTGTGTGTGTGTGAGTTCTGCCATCCAATCTCTCCTCAGAGGCTCCTATAATGCAGTGATGGATTCGGCGTGGTTGGGCCAGGGATGACTACCTTTCTAGGCCATGGTGTTTATTTTGCCACCTTCAGTTTGTAGGAATGATTTATGAGCCCTCTTATCAGTTTACAAGCACAAATTTACTTCTGACTCACATAACCGTACAGCTCATAAGGTCCCCCACCCTGCTAAATAGCGTAAAATGTGGGCAAATGTGCAAAGTTTCAGGTAATTTTTCCAACATTACTAATAACAAGTACATACTGTCATCTCAAGCAGACCAAATTCAGATGGGAAAAATATTACAGAGAAGGCCATTTTGTTCTGATTGTCTTTAGAGGATAATGTCTTCCTAAAACGATAACAGTAAAAACCAACAAAGACATTCAAACCTCCTTAAAGCCCGTATCATTGAGTAACAACTTCCACAATTATGAACAAAGCTTTCACTAAATAATGGCTTTAAAATAAAAATTACAAGTGGTTTCTGTAGCAGCTGTTTCTTCTTTAACCCTTGAACCACAGGAGAAGTTCAAGTCTGAGTTTTTGTGTAAGGTTTCCAACATGACCGACCCCTGGTAACCTTCCCACATCAACAAAGACGCTCTGAGAGAGGAGGATCACAAAGTGCAGCAAGTTTAGAGGGACTAGGCGACACTTCAGCCTCAATACGCCAATCAGCTGCCAAAGGGAAAGAACACAGGAGAAAGAAAGGAAAGGAACGAGTAAAGAGGTGAGCAGGGTAATATCCTAGAGACCATCAGCTGGCAATTCAAACATGTCTGCTTTTGTGTGTCGCACAAAAAGTGGCCTTCTGGAAAATCTACTTAGTCTAATGCGAGGAGACTAAAGTGGCATCTTTCAAACCGGATTTCCTTTTACAAGCAAGGCACAAAAAACTAATAGTAAGAATAAAATGGATATATTGTTGAAAGTGCTTTTAACAAAAGCGGCTCGGTGAAGTGTCTCAAAATGCCCTTGAAACTAAATGATTTCTAAACATCAACTTCTAAATAACAAGGATAGAAAGGAACCCTGAGAAAAAGGCCGAATGTGTCCGAGCTCCAGTGAGTCCCACATGGTTCAAACTGCATACTTAACAATGATTCAACGAATCAACGAAACTCTAAAATCAAGGCAGGTTTTCATTATATGATCTGTGAGATAGAATATGACACCCAATTAGAAAAGATGGTTTTTATTAGCGACATACCTTTGAGGCACAGCCACGCATGAAATGATGACTGCTCTTTTAAATTTAGCTTTAAATAACTCAGTGTGTTAAATCTAATCTACTCCAGGTTCACAAAGTTTAAATGTAAATAAGACAGAATACAGTGAAATTTCACTTCCATGTCTTCTTATTAAAAACGGTACACATTTGTTGGATTTTTTAAAATCATTTTGAAGCAACGTGTTTCAGAAGTCTGGATTTGGTTTGAATGCCACCGTTCTTTTAATACCACTTCAGCAGTGTTTGTGAAATGGGGAGACAAACAGTTTAAGACTTTTTTTGGTTTAATACATGTTTTCAGTGGAGGAGAGATCTCTGCAAAAGGCATGACAAGTTAAGCCTTGAATTACTTTTGAGGTGTAAATTACTCGGACAACACTTCTTTTTATTCACGTCTTGCGTGATATTTCTGGCAAAAGGGTTGACTGCTTTATGAGGCAAATGTGCAAACAGAGAGCAAGATTAACCACGGTTTCTTTTTAAAACAAAGTGGGGAGTGGGTCTGATTACTCACACGCTCATTTACTGCTGCTTGCTTACTCAGAACCATAAGCTTCTTGCTGCCTGAGAGTGGTTGCAAAGTTGGCTCCATGATGATGTTTGTTTGTGAGAAGTTAAAGCAGAAATCATGGAAAAAGAACAGGCCGTGTATGATTTAATGTAGAAGCATATCATGGGCTTAAATGGGAAAATACATAAACTGAGTTTTAAAATGACAATGAATAAAAACATTTTTTCATATTTATTCTGTTTTGTCTTAATCAGAGGCAAAAAGAAACTCCACAACAGGCGTAGGTTAATATTGGGAGCTGGTGCCGGTGGCACAATAGACGTGTGTAGCAGCATGTGCCGATGACATGCAGGATATAGCAGGAACACACAACAGAAGCTGCCTACTTAGAATAGAAACCTTCAGATGGAAGCACATTTTAAAGCAAATTAACCTCGGTTCCCATCTTTCAGGTGTGTTTGCCAGCTAGCAAGGTGACAACACGAAGCTACAACGTGACGGCACAAGTGAGCAAAGAGAAAAGTTAATTAAATGTATACAGGGTTGTGACAACAAATAAAAATCACTGTGGAACCACAACAAGAAAGGAGCATGTAGGACATCATCATGATTTTTCTGAAGGTGTCTTTAATAAGGTCTTTACCAGCAATATGAAACAACACAACAGAGAGAAAAATAAAGAGAAATAAGAGTGAAATTGTGCCTTAAAATTGTTCTAAATCTACTTTAACTTGGACTTTTCAACTAAAGGGACAACTCTGGAAGAGGAAATGGAGACTGCAGTAAACTGGCTAAGCTGAAAGAGTTCATATTCTTAACCACTTTTTATCCTTTAGCCTTTTTATCCTGTACTAAGTCAAAAGCCTGAAAACAACATTCAGATCTCTGTGTGGATAAAGATGAAAAACCTTGACAATGGCCGGCTTCTGTTTTCAGCCACAGTACATGTTTTATTACCTGTTTCTCCCTCCAGAGCAGAACTCCCTCCTCAATCAGCTGCTGTTTGAGACGCAAACCCTCATCTAAGGTCCTCATCTGGCCCTCCACGTACGCCCTCTCTCGCTGTCCCAGATTCCTGGAGGAAAGCCAAGAGAAGACAAAAAGTCCAATCATTACTGAAAAAAAAGAAAACCTCCTGCTGGGGTCACAAGATGCTGAATCCAATTTTTAACGGCCTGCAATGCAGCAGGAATCCAAATGGAGAAAAAGCTAAATAAAAGACAGAGAGTAAGACTACAACATTTAGGGAAATTGCGTCCTTTAAAATCTGTCAAACACAATGTGAATGTAAACGGTTTGAAAACAACACCAGGTGTTGCATGTGAGTTTTTAAGAGAAACAGTAATCAGGTTTACGGGTTGAATTAAGTTTTCTTCTTTAATGAGGTAAACTAGTTGAATGGAACAAGTTTGGGGATGACATTAACAATCAGGTTGAGAAAAATGTTTAATGAGGTTGTGAGTCTCCTCAGAGCAAAGCTGGTGCAGATTCCAAGAGGAACCAGGTCCAGTTTTTTAAGATTAGTGACATTATGCCCCCTGGTGGCAGATGCAGCTGACAGCCTGTGCAGTCGCTCATTATGCAAGTCATATGATAAATAATCATCTACTAAAAAATAATAGCCCCTTTTTTCTATGATCTTAATTATTCTAAATGCTTATTCCCGTTTTAACAAGGAGCTACACAAACACAAATCCAGCTAAATCTGCATGAATATTTTCTGTCGTTTTAGAGATAATGAATCTCAGCTTTGGATCCGACTGACCAGCAAGTGTTCTGGCAGCGAGCGTGGCTGTTGTATTCATCGGAAGCGTCGCAGCAGTCTGGCGAGAGACACGGGAGAAACCAGTCCAACATACACACAAGAAAACAGAGATACAACATGTCAGCACAGAGAGGTGAACAATATGTCTTTTTTCCAAAGCCGTCGTTTTGAGCTTCCACTTGGAATTCGATCTGAGGATCTAACTCATTCTTTGGCAACAGAAAGAAGAGCAGAAAAGAAGGCAGAAGACATTTATGATCATTAATGGTGTTGATACAGTTACTGGCAGTGCAGTTTGTTGAAAAGTTATGATGTAACACCTATTGTTTATTTCATCTTTCTCAAACAGAAACTTTACTCTCTGTCTAAGCTGAAACTTATTGGCTTTTCTATACCACCCAGTCAACCATTTCAGGGAATAAAAGTTTTCTTGCGATTTAAATATGCAGAGGGAGCCCTCTGTATCTTATGTTACCTAACAAGACAGAAATATAGTTATTTTTTCCTTACTTTTTATTCTATAAGGGCTCGTATAGACTGTCTCTACAGCTTTCTTCCCTCATTATCTTATTATCTTCTTTTACTTGTTCCTCCCACTATGAGGGCTTTTGTCCAAATAAACTGTACTTGTTCTTTTTCTGTGGGCACAAATTGTAAGAAACCCCCTCACTCCTGAATCTTTACATTTATAATCCTCTCACAGCATCTTAAAACATGCAAACCAATACAAAAAATAAAGGCTAAGCTTACATACATTTCATAATTTCTTACATCACAAATTGTCCTAATGTGAATTAGCTCCAATTATGAGCCCTTCCATAAAGCGTCACATCATGCGGGTTTTCTTAACTCATAATCATAGCATGGCCATTTTCTCTTTTTACCCACATATTGCTCCCTGGCCAGTAACTGATCGTTATAGATGAAGACTGGATTTCTGTGCCTGCATGATATCTCTCTCTGGCTCAGACAGGATCTCTTGACATCAAGCACTCATAAGATCAGCTGTGTGTTGTGCAGCAAGTGCTCTAATCTGGCTTCTGCTTGGATGTTTCACCAAGAGAGTGGGCACAGTGTAACGTTTCTCAATTATCAAGAACCCCATTGATGACCAGTGGAATGCGAACTTTGGAGCCCAATGAGAACCTCTCAACTACAGGAAAGATGAAAAAAGTGGGAGTGGGATGAGGGTTAGGCGAAGAGTTGAGTAAGGCTTGTGGAAAAATTCCCCTGCTGGTTTTTCAATTCTAATTCCTTCCTTTTTTTTTGTTTTTTCAGAGGTTGCATGAGGTCTGTTACTATGTTGGAGCTAGAATATTTCAATTGTGACTTGGTCCTAAATGAGAAGCTACGGCAGAATAAAAGAGCAAGTAAAAGTCGGCTATAAAACTATAAAATTAGGTCTAGAATGTGGCAGATATTAAGAAAATTTTAAGAAGAGCTTGTTGATAAGGTAAGGATTAGGGTTAAGCAAGAGAAGACGAGTGTGTACATGTGTGCATGTCAAGTAGCGAGAAGAGAAAACACAGCTTTACCACAAATGCCGTCATTAACTCGTGACGAGGGGATGTAGTGTGGGCGAAAGCCCAGGTTGGTGCAGTAGAATCGGCCTCGGGGACAGGCTGAGGTGCCTGTACGGAGACAAGAGAGGCGGTGAGCTCAGCAGTTCCAAAAACTACAACCCCAAACTATCTACACTACGTGCAAGCTCAGGCAGTTTGTGTTTGTGTACTGTTCAAATAGTCCAACATTCATTATTGCTATGAAAACCTTCTTCTTTATTTTTAAAGAGGTAAGTTAATCTTTAAACCAGATTCAACCTCTCAGCTCAGTTCAACCTTGTTATGGACGTGAAATTAGGATCTCTGGACAAAGGTCAGAAAGTAAAGACAGCCAAAACACATCTGCTTTCAGGGCCGTCGGGAATATTCACCTTCATCGTGTACTGTTTTTACCACAGGACACATTCTGCATCTTCGGAATAAAAATGCTTTCACGCTTCAGTTTCTATGATATGATCACATTCAACCGGTTCAGTTGGCCTCATTAACTTCTGGTTCCTTCTGCTCCCTCTGTAGTGGGTAAAGGGCTTCAACAGGGTGCTTATCCTGATGCTGGCCACAGCACGGTTTAATTAATGACCCTTCCAGCCGACCACCTGCGGACATTTTTTTCTCCTCATTTCTGATATTCAATAAAACCAACAGGAGCCCCTCACTGTGCAGCCTCTTCACAGGGTTTTGGATTCAGACGGAGAGCCTCGTTCCTGCAAAGAATCTGTTATGATGATGAACATGGAAATTATATCTTTTGAATTCAGGCAGATGCAAAAGGTTCTTATGCCTGAATGAAATCATTTCTGTGTTTTTTTCTTTTTTTATTAGAATGTTGTACTGAAAATTAATCCAATACTTTCTTACTCATCTTCTAATGTGCTAAAGGATGTCTCCAGTTAAATACAGGTAACATTTGTGTAAAAAATTTGACACTTTGTGACTGTTCATATGCTATATGTTATCTCATGTTATATTCTACAAAGCAAAAAAGGGATTAAAATGTCACTTTGACGCTGCTCTTTTATTTCTTATTTTGGCTTTTGTGAGACCTGAACTAATTCAGGCAACACGTCTTTACTGTTTCTTTAGCTGTCGAGCCTTGACGTCATTTGAACATACAAAAGCTTTGGCATGAATAATTCCACTTAAGACAAGTATTTGATTGTCCAGTCGATGTTTATTAAACTGATAAAATGTTTTCATTTTCACAGGATTATTGTCAAATTTCAAAATATTGATTGTTGATCCCAGAGGCGTGATGCTTTTAATAGTTGATACAGTCCCCATTTTAACAGGCTCAAATGTTTTATTATACGTCTCCAAAAGTACAATGTTAACAGGATTCTTTCAGTAATAGATAAGATATGTCTGACATAGTATATGAACCTCAAATCAAGGATAAACTATCACTTAACTCGAATGAAATGAGATGTGACAGGGTGCTAAGGGTGAACACTCATAAAAAACCTACTAATGGAAGAATTGTGTCCTACCACAGATACTTAAAGCTTTCTTGAACAAATCAGGATCTGTAAGAATGTTGAAGATTACCAAAAAGAAATGTCCCTTCGGCAATGAACAAACCAAACAGCATCTCCCACCTTGATGACATGATGGTGCATATTTTTATTAGAGTGTTTTATTTAAAGAAATCTAATCTAAAGCCAAGCCAAGAAAGCCACTAAAATGTTGATTTAAAAGAAACGTGTGTCAATGACAATTTGTGGAGGTTGTGAAATTTTGACAGCACCTCTTAAAAACTGGTCAACAACTCAGACTTGTTTGACCAGATTTCAAACACTGGAAAAGTGAGTTACAAAAAGCTTGAAAAAGGAATGCAGGAATTTCTAAAGGTTCAGTTGCAATCAGTGTTCAGTGTCCGAAAGTGTAACTTGCAACAAAAAACATATACATAAACTGAAGCACAATCCTATATTTATGTTCCCATATCTAGAGATTCAGAGAGCTGAGTAAATGCATCGTTTGCTTAACTGTACCTGGTTCGTCTGAGCCGTCTGCGCAGTCGCAGTAGTCATCATTCACCTGCTCAAAGGGGATCATTTTCGACCCATCAATGCACAAAAAAGACTTCCTCTCTCTGTAGAACCTTTTGTCTGTACAAACAAAAGGAAGGAAGAATCTAATTGTTGATTATCTTCAACTATAAGAAAAATAAAGCCAAGCCAAATAACTCGCCCGGTATGAAGTTTTTCATCACTTGTGTTTGTAAAAATTGAGCCTTAATTAAATCACAGAATTAAATTACGTGTCTTGTTTTCGTTGCACTGTTTGTGTATTTGCTCAGTCAGTGATGGCAGCTTTGTGAGGAGTCTCTAATCGTGTCTATGCTTCAAGTGTACAAGCTTTCACATGTTTACAGTTAAAAGGACGAAAGATACTTAGCTTTAAGCTAAAAAGGGAAAGGGGACTTACAGGACGAAGATATTCCTCTAACTTTGCGCGAGTCCACAAGACCAGACCAAAACAGAGCAGCGATAATAACGTGAACGCGCATTGCAATTTACTGCTTGCCACCTGCTTTATTAAGATCCCGCTCAAGGGTGTTTCAAACCCATGACACACAGCCACCGTTTCAGTGGCTGTGCCTTGACTTCCTGAAACACGTCATCACGTGAGCCTTGTGATGTTCTCTATTGGCTTGGAATCGATACTATTTGGTTCTTTGGTCCAATCACAGGGGAGAATAGACACTAGGGACGAAGGGCGCAAATATTGATGTTTATTTGTGTATTTTGCTGGATTGCATATGCATTAATGCTAAAAGCTTTCTTAAAAGAGATCCTTCAGGAAATATGGTGGCTTTTGGAGACCACTAAATCGGTGCTTACTTTAAATTAGAATTTATTTGAGAGAACATTTATAGTATGAGGTCATTTGACAGCAAACCACTTCGACATAAAATCTCAGTTACTGCACCAAATCCATTCATTTTATCATCATTAAACTTTTCGGAACTTTACGATCATTGTAAAGTTGTAGGCTGCTATCTTAAAAGTTTCACAAATGGAAAAAGTTACAGTCCTGTTCTACATGTGTTTTTATTATAGATAGATAGATAGATAGATAGATAGATAGATAGATAGATAGATA